CCAGTTACGGCTCCTCGCGGGAAGTTACGGGCCAGACCGTAACACACATGGTCTGGCCGTAACTTCCAGGTGCTCGCTCCTTCGCTCCTAAACGTCCCGAAACATCGCTCCATCGCACCCATTCATGTACTAAGTACCGAAACATCATAAACTAACACGCACAAGCGTAAAACAGGCCACAAGAGCGAGAAACAAAGCTCAAACGGTCAAGACAATTCTGAACAAATTTTTCACAGAATTACCTCATTTCAAAAGTGAGACAGTTACTCCGATTGTCTCGTTTTACAAATGTTCCATCCAAACGAACCACTAAGTTTCCTCCTTCATGAACAAAGGGTTCTCCTTGATTCGATGGTTATTCAAGCAACCTCCCTTTCCTTTTGTGAATTCAGGCTGAAAAGCTTTTAATTTTGTTCTTTATATCTGATGTTTCCTTCTAGGGATATCTTTGGAAAAAATGCCTAAAGTTGTATCCGCATTTATAAACTATATTACCTGGGTGTACTTATGAATATAGGTTGGGTTGCCATCCCTAGTTATGTACCATTTTTTTCGAAAGTAAAAAATGAATATCAATTATGTAAACAAAGGACAAGAAGACCACATAAATGAACATATAGATTACTGAAAATAGAAGCGAAATCAAGCATTCGTTAATTATACTCACATCGGTTGAACATGGCATCTTGTTAGAACCATGTTTCTAGGGGAAACGGGTTTCTCTCATTATCATAATTATTATTATTAGGATTTTATTAAATTAGTTTAGTAGTCTTTTAGTAGAATTAAATTTATTATTAGGTTTTCAATCTATTTTGCTATAAATGTGTACTTTGGTTATTCATTCATAATCAACAAAAAGAATATAAAGAAAACTCCTAAACCCTAATCTCTCCATATCCTCTCAATTCTTGATCTCAATCCCTCTAAAGGCCTAGGCCGATTCTCGTTTGTTCTTCCCCAAATTCTTCTCAAATCCCTAAATCCCTAATCTTGTCCTATAAAACTAAATTCTCAGTCTCTAGATCTCATCTAGAAACCCGAAATTTTATTTCTAATATTTAGTATCAAAGCCGGGTTCCGGATATGAGTTCGTCAAAACTCTCAACCGAGGACGAGTTATACAACGATGGCAATACACTCTTTTGAGACCTTCATCCAAGAAATCTCTCGACAGTGCACGAAACGTCGTGCCATAATTGCAGACCTCGCCCACACCGCCATCACCAATGAGCAACTGCAAAACTCAGTTTTCGCGACTGTCAAACTAGTACTGCCGGTGGTGATTGCAGCCACATTGTCTTCCCGTCCGCTGCAGCTTCACCACCACTACCGCTCGTTGTTGTCGAACCACCATCCAAGACGTTTGACTCACGTGGCGACCGGGCTTGAGCTGCAATTGGGTTTACTACCCCGCACCAATCAGCCCAGGAGAGGGTGAAGCTCGCAAAGGGACCTTGACTAGAATCAAAATCCACCAACGACGCGGAGCCGAGACAATGATGAGTAGCGGCTTCAAGTCCCTTACCTCCCTACCAACATGGTTCGAAAATTTCCCCAGTTTAGCTGGGTCCATGGCTTAAGGATGGGAAGGGAAAGGAAGAAGCCTCCGGGGAAGGACGATACCAAGCGGGCGCAGGTTCACCGGGTTTCCTCGCCTGCAGCTATAGGTGTCAAACATAGCCCGACCCGATTAACCCGCCCGATCAACCCGACCCGCAACCCGACCGCAACTCGAATTGACTAAAAGTCAACAACCCGTAACCCGCCCGACCCGCAACCCGATTGACCCGCAATCCAACTAACCCACAACCCGATTAACCCGAACCCGATTCACCCGAACCCGACTAACCCGTAACCCGACCGACTCAACCCGAATTTCATCTAATCCACTTGAATAATTATAAAAATATACAATACATAGTTTTTCAAAATAAAGTTTTTCATTCTAAACTTAAGTAAAATTATTTTTTCATTTCGTATAAGAAATTTTAAAAATATGAAACTCACTTGATATTACGTATTTTAAAAAAATTACAAAAATTGAAACATGAAGGTCACTTGAGATCATGACAATATTAAGATAATATATAAATTAAAATTTTGGTTAATTTAACTATTCAATAAAATTATCAATTAAATATAAATAAAGTAAAATAATGTATTTAATAATTTGATGTTTTTAAAAGAAGAGGGAAATTTTGGTGTATTCAAGTTTTTGGGAAGAGAAAGAAGAGGGAAATTTGGTTCTTTGAATTTTTTAGAAAAGAAACAAGTGGGAATTTTGGTGGTTTTGATATGTGGGAAGAGAAAGAAGTGGAAAAGTTTGATTCTTTTGATTATGAAAGAGAAATAAGGAGGGAAACTTTTGACTTTTCAACTTTTTGTAGAATGAAAGAAGAGGGTAATTGGTTCTTTCAATTTTATGGAAGAGAAAGAGGAGGGAAAATTGTGTTTTTCTAATGTATGGAAGGAGAAAGAAGGAGGGAAATTTTAGTATTTTTGTGAAAAGAAAGAAGGAAACAAATTTGGTGTTTTCAATTTTTTGGTTTTTCATAATTTTAGCTTTTGAAATATGAATCTTTAACTTTTATATGGAGGGCATGACTAGTTAAAATTATTCTTATATGCTTTGAAGGCTAATATGTATATATGTATGTAATTTTTTATAGGCTAATAAATAAAGTAACCATTAGTTACAACAATTTATACTAAACTTGATAAGTAATCTTTGACGATTCGTTGTTTAGGATATAAAGTATATGGTTAGAGTATAAGGTACATATGGTTTAGGGTGTATATGGTTAGGGTATAAGATATTGATGGTTTTGACGGTTCTAAGTTTTTTTATTAACATATGTTCACTTGAAGTCATTTGAGAGAAGGAGATTCCTTATCTAGGGCTTCTACTCTATTTCGAAATTCATTACTTAGGTTTTTCTTTTTTTGTTCATTGTACGTGGTTAGGGTACAAGGTATGTGGTGTAAAGTATAGGATATATGGTTATTGTATAAAAATTAGCAAATATCACTTTTTATCTATGTTTTGAAAATCAAAGTATGAATTTCACTTTTAAATTAACTATACTAGCAAAATCACAACTCAAGGACATATGGTTAGGGTATAGGTTATGTGGTTAGTGTATAATGTATTGATGGTTTAGGGTATACGATCTACAACATATACTAACTTAATATTGTTGATTGAGGGTAAAGCTAAGTGTATAAGATATATGCTATTGAGTAAGTTATGATTGAAGTCACAATAATTTTACTTTTTTAGGATAATTCGAACAATTTTACAAATAACTCGTTTGGCAACAGTTTACTAAAGTTACTTGGGCAATGAGTTATTTTGAAATAATTCCTTTTATCACTATGCTTTTGCCAAATACCACACGCCAAATACCAGATTTGCATGGTTATACTAAACGAGATATTTTAATCTAATTACTACTGAATTAATACTAAAATATCAAATAAACAATTAACAGTGTCTTTTGGTTGCAAATATTGATATCACCATTACTATTAGCTATAATACCTTACCAATTATGATTAATTACATAACAAGTTTGCAAGTCATACAAATTGATTTAACATTTTGACTAGTTTTTTTCAAAAAAATAAAGTATATATATACGAGGTAGAAATAAATTGGTTAAAAAGTTGAGAAAATATTTTAAACTAGTGTAATAAAATGTGTAAGTTGGTAATGAGTAATGATTTAAGTTACTTGATGCGCTGGCCCGAACAACCCGAAACCCGACCCGCCCGCAAACCTCCCGACCCAAAACCCGATGAACCCGCAACCCGATTTGCCCGCAACCCGATTGAATCCGAACCCGATGAACCCGCAACCTGATGAACCCGCAACCCGTTTGAACCCGAACCCGATGAACCCGAACCCGATGAACCCGCAACCCAACTAACCCGCAACCCGTTTGAACCCGAACCCGATTGAACCCAGCCCGAACCCGCCCGAACGCGCTCGATTGACACCTATACCTGCAGCGGACGTGGAACAGGAGGCATGGCGATCGTAAGCGGATCTACCACGGGCGTTGATCGACACTAAGGTAAGGGTCGGGGCGAGACGAGAATTAGACGTGCCGCCTTGCCGTCGTGCGAGCTTCTCATTGTCAGAGCCAAGAGGATCAAAGAGCTAGCCGAAGGGGTACTCGCCGACGATTGAGAAGGAGGAGGAGGGCAACACTGCTTCTCTTCTCGCAAGACATGGGTATCCTGAAGGATTAAAATATTAATGGTTGAGATATTTTATTATTAGTTACAAATGCAAGAAAGGAAAAATCTAGAGGAAAGGAGAAGTAGAGTTGGACGAGAAGAAGTGGGAAGAAATGAGAAGTGTCTAGAGAATAATAAAAAATTATTATGTGTGCAGATTTTTGGAGGAATAAGGCGGTGGAAGAGTAGTATAAATGGGTTGGGAATGTACTTGTGCTGGGTGTGGAGTGAATTGAGGAAAATAGAAAGAAAAAAGATATACGTAAGAGAGAGGAAGTGTGATGTGAGTGGTGAGTTGTAAGTGAGAGAGAAGTTATAGTGTGGTCATGTGAATGTTAGTGGTGTGAGCTCTTGTGTTTTAAAATTATAAGTTAGTACCTTGAGTTTGTCAAAGTTGTATTTTTTCCACCAATCTTAACAAGTGTATTCAGAGCATACCCGATCCGAAACCCAACAAGTGGTATCAGAGCCAAGGTTATGCTGAGTATGCTCTGTGGTTGCAACCTAGTCTGAACTTTCACATTAGAAAGGTAACGCTGAGTATGCTCTGTGGTTGCAGCTAAGTCTGATCTTCCACATCAGAAAAATTATCCTTAGAATATTTGATACATTGTTGAAAAGCTAACGGCCTAGGAACGTAGTTGTGCTACCAATCCGAGATTGGTAAAGCGAGTCAGAGTGCTGCCTATGTACACAGTCTGGGACTGTGATTCCATTTGGTATGGGACCAAGTTCACACCAAGGAGAGTGTGATTATGGATGCGGTTGGGAGCATCAAGAAGCTCAACAACCAAAATTACAGCACATGGGCAACGTATATGGAGTCCTACTTACAAGGACAAGGTATGTGGAGCCTGATTGGTGAGAGTGAGACACAAGAGCCTGTCGTAGATAATAATGCCATCGAGAAGTGGAAGATGAGAGCTGGCAAAGCCATGTTTGCCATCAAGGTCACGATGGAGGACTAAATGTTGGAGCAAGTCAGATATTCCACCACACCGAAGGATACATGGGACACACTAGGATCTCGATTCTCAAAGAAGAACGATATGAAGCTTCAACTATTGAAGAATGAGTTGTCGGCGAGTGTTCAAGGCAAGATGACAGTGAGTTAGTATTTCACGAAGATAAAATCAATCTGTCGTGAAATATCCGAGATAGACCAGAAGTCAAAGATTGAAGAAGACAGGATGAGGAGAATTATAATTCACGGTCTAGAATCTGAGTATAGAGGGTTTATTGATGCCGTTCAATGATAGCCAACTCCACCAACGCTTGAACAGTTGGAGAATTTGTTAGCCAACCAAGAGATTCTGACAAAGAAAGGCAACAACAAGTCTACAGAAAATGAATAGGAGGCACTCTTCACATGTAGACAAAGGGGTCGGTTTAAGAAGAAGAACTACCAGTCCAGTCAAAATAGGGAGGAGGATCAACCAAGAGAATGGAGGAGACAAGAATTCCAGTCTAGAAGATTCTCACCACAACAAATCCTAGATCATGGGCGAGAAGATTCTCCACAGAGAGACAAGGATGTGTGCTACAATTGCGGCAAGAGAGGACATTATGCCAGAGACTATTGGCATAAGAAAAGAATGGAAGGGAATGTTTTCACATCAAAGTGAATAAGAGTGGGATCTGGAGGCAATGGTTGCTTCTGCAGAGGTTGTTGAAGAAGAAAGCAGAAGTGAAGAGCAAGCATTAACTATTCAAATTCGAGGCATGGATTACAATAAAAATTGGATCTTCGACTCAGGGTATTCGGATCACATGACGGGAGACAAAGAAAATCTTAATGAGACAACAAAGTATCAAGGAAGGAGAGTCGTGGTGACAACCAATAATACGAAATTGCCAATAGCACACGTGGGGAAATCAATCATAGCTTCTAGCTCCAATGCTGAAGAAGTTTGGTTAGAAGAAGTTTATCATGTACCAGGAATCAAGAAGAACCTGATATCATAAACGCAGCTTACAGCACCAGGAAACTACGTCGTATTCGGCCCAAATGATGTGAAGGTCTGCAAGGAAGTGGAGATCATTGGCACGCCTATTATGGAAGGAGTCAAGAAGAATTATATGTACATGATGTCCGCAGAATCTGCCTACATTGATAGTACAAGGAAGAATGAGACAGCTGATTTATAGCACACACGCCTAGGTCATGTGGGTTATCACAAGCTGTAGGTCATGATGAAGAGATCCATGTTGAAAGGTCTTCCCCAATTGGAGGTACGAGACAACATAGTCTGTGCAGGATGCCAATATGGGAAGGTGCACCAACTTCCCTACGAGGAGTCACACTATAGAGCCAAGGAGCCTTTGGAGTTGATCCACTCGGACGTATTTGGACGTGTCAAGCAAAAATCTATAACTGGATATCGCTACATTGTCACATTTATTGACTACTACTCCAGATACGTATGGGTGGCATTCATGAAAGAGAAGTCAGAAACCTTCATGAAGTTCAAGGAATTCAAAGAGAAGGTTGAAGCTGAGTTGGGAAGAAGGATCAAAGTACTGCGCACAGACAATGGGGAGAGTATACATCTCATGAGTTTCGAAGTTACCTGAGGAGGCACAAGATCAGGAGACAGTTGACTTGTCCGAGGACACCACAACAGAATGGCGTGGCTGAAAGGAAGAATAGACATCTTGCAGAGATAGTAAGAAGTATGCTACATACCAAAAACGTGTCAGGAAGATTTTGGGTTGAGTGTATAAAGACTGCAGTTTACATCACCAACAAAATTCCACAAGCAAGGTTGGGATTTACATCGCCATTTGAGAAGTTATGGAAGATGAAGGCGATAGTTAGTCATCTTAGAGTTTTTGGATGTGTTTGCTATGTCTTAGTCTCTGACCAAGAAAGGAGAAAGTTTGACAAGAAAGCAAAACGATGCATCTTTCTTGGATATGACAGCGAAAGGAAAGGTTGGAGATGTTATGACCCAACAACAAACAAGGCGATGGTTTCAAGGAATGTTGTGTTTGATGAAGCATCATCCTGGTGGCTTCCTCAAGAAGTGTTACTCCCTAATGACTAGGAGAGTAATGATCAGTTTCAACAGGTTGAGGGGGAGCAATCTAAGCTGAAGGATTCAAGCTCTGAAGATCCTATAGAGCAGGTGAATGAGCCTAGTAATGAAGGAACAAGTAAAAGGTCGAGTACGTGGAAGACAGGAGTGTACCATGAGGTTCGTGAAGAAGATCGACCGAGTCAGTTTAAAGAATTTAAAGAAGACTCAAAAAGAGATCAACAAGAACTCAGAAGGTCGAAAAGGATCAGAAGGCCTAATCCTAAATATGCAAATATAGCATATATTGAAGAATCAGTTTCACAAAAGAAGTATGTTGAATCGAAAAAGAGATTCAGGGCATCGTATGCACAGAAGAAAAAAGATAAAATTATGGAGTACCGAAGGGATGCTAGGAGCACGTTTGTCAAGGATGCATATATAAGAGACAAGGAACAAGCTTTATTCCGAGAAATAGCAAATGATATCGCTGACATGGAGCAATATCGACATAAGAAGAAGTACAAGTACGGTATGAAGACAAAATGTATTTTAAGGGGGAGAATTGAAGGATTAAAATATATTAATGGTTGAGATATTTTATTATGAGTTATAAATGCAAGAAAGGAAAAATCTAGAGGAAAAGAGAAGTAGAGGTGGACGAGAAGAAGTGGGTAGAAATGAGAAATGCCTAGATAATAATAAAAAAATTAGTATGTGTGCAGATTTTTAGAGGAATAAGGTGGTGGAAGAGTAGTATAAATGGGTTGGGAATGTACTTGTGCTGGGTGTGGATTGAAGTGAGGAAAATATAAAGAAAGAAGAGATACGTAAGAGAGAGGAAGTGTGATGTGAGTGAGTGGTGAGTTGTAAATGAGAGTGAATTTATAGTGTGGTCATGTGTATGTTAGTGGTGTGAGCTATTGTGTTTTAAAATTATAAGTTAGTACCTTGAGTTTGTCAAAGTTGTATTTTGTCCACCAATCTTAACAAGTGTATTCAGAGCATACCCGATCCAAAACTCAACATATCCAACCCTAGGGGAAGCCTCCCGTAAGCCTCTTTTGGGTCGTAGGCTGAGCAGGCCATGAGTTCGGATGAATCAAGGCCTGCGTGCGGGCCTCAATTTGGTAAGCTGTCTAGGCTACTGAGGAGTAGGAATAACTTAAAGAAAGGAGAAGTGGGTCGGCTTGCAAGGAGGCAATCACTGGGCTCATTTTGGGTCGTTCAAACCAGTTGAGTGGGTCGAAGAATAAGGACATTGGGTTGCATCTTCAAGGAGTGCTTGAGCCCAATGGAGATAGTTTTTTTTGAAGAATGTGAGCTTGGAAGAAGGGTTTGAAAGCTTATCTAGTGGGCTTTAAAGAGCGCAGGGTCCAAAATTAATTAGAGAGACAACAAATCAGAGTTATGGGCTTGCTCCAAGAAAGATGTATGAAGGCCTTGATGAAATGGTACTCGAGGATGGGTTCTTGAACAAGAACCAATCTTTGAATTCCTTGAGTTGCTGGCTGGCGATGACAGCGAAAGAGGCGTTATGAAAGTTTGAATTACTTGAGGACATGAGGAATGGGTCATCAGCAATGAAATTCACAAATTTGGAGCAACACCAGAAGACAAAGAAAGAATGCCAAGTCAAGTAGTGGAGCACGATTGGAAGAAAAAGAAACGTCGATGTGCAAATCGCGCAAGAAAGAGGGAGGAGTGGATCGAGTTGATGAAGCTTTAGGGCAAGCTCGGTCTCAAGGGGGAGTGGATGTTAGAAACACGTTTTCAAGGGAAAACAGGTTTCTCTTCTCATTATCAAAATAATTATTATTAGGATTTTATTCAATAAGGTTAGTAGTCGTTTAGTAGAATTAGGTTTTCAAGACATTTTCCTATAAATATGTACTTTGGTATTCATTCATTATCAACAAACAATAAGAATATTAAGAAAACATCTAAACCCATATTTCTTCCTATCCTTTGACTCTTGATCTCAATCCCTCTAAAGATCTAGGTCGATTCTCGTCTGTTCTTCCCCAAATTTTTCTCAAATCGCTAAATCCTCAATTCTGTCATATAACCCCCTAAATTCTAAATCTCTAGATATGATCTAGAAACCCATTAAAAAAATTTCTAACACATCTTGCCTCGAAAAAGCATAAATGACAATTAACTTTATTTATCTACTATAAATGAGAATAAGGAACAGAGAGAAAGAAATGCATAAAAACAAGCATTCCAGAAAAGAGTAACTTAAAATCTTCCTCTGTTCGAGAGTTTAAACTGGCCTCCAGTTTGAACTATGCCTCTTCTGAACATTCTCTCCCCCTATTACGCCATCTCCTCCCATTCTCTTTCTTTTCAGCCGAGCCAACTCAAACCACGTCTAACCATAACAGGAGCACCAGTAATTTTTTTGGTAAAAAATATCCTATATATATATATATATGTCAATGCAGGATCAAGCTCATTATGTCTAGGTGATATAAAAGTGTTTTACCACTACAGTACAAATTTTTTCAAAAGCTAATATAAATCAATTAATTACACCATAAACAAAATTCTCAATTGAAATATACTCCAAAATCGATCTCTCTGTCTTCTAGAGATAGTTTTTACACTACCCGTTGCAACTACATGTGTTGAAAGAGCATTTTCAATTTTGAGCTATATTAAGAACAAGTTTCAAAGTCGGACTGCAGCGAGTTTGCTAATGAATGCTTAGTTGGATGCATTAAAAAGACATACTTAAAAGTGTAGACAATGATTGCATTTTGCATGTCTTTCGGAATACGAACAACGTCGTGATTGTTTATGAAACAAATGATTGTATTAGTTGGATATTTCTTTATTATCTAACAAGTTATTTTGTATCCTTCCTACTTCACTACCTCTAACTCATAATCAATGTAGTGGTCTCTACCCCTTAAACAAACTGTCCTTCTAGTTGAAAGGGCTTAAAC